GGCAGAATAATTTACGACAGTACTTCATACACAATACAGGCATGAATAGTTTTACAAAAATACACAATTTGAGATTTCTGTTATCGAAGGATGCCAGAAAACCTGTGAGATGTTCAATGGCACCGCCAGCTCGATAATTGGGTGGTCAATATTCATATATTCGTGTTCACAGACCGTAAAAACAATAGATCTCAAAATAAATTAATAACGTAGAACATGAATATATGAATGTGTTATCCAGCTGATGTTATAGTTACTTTTGATCTTTCACTACATTATGAGACATTATAATGGCGATCATGCTACTTTTCTGAATGCTCGGAATGACCATTGTGCCATCTTGTGCCAGGGATTGTTTCAATACAATAGAATGATATTCAGGAACAAGATAGCACAATGGACAGTGTGAGACTGGGTACTTTTAGTAATTCAAATATTAACATTTACAGTACTTAAGGTCTGACCAAAATGGGTCGCTGAAACTTTGTATATGCTGCAGACGACTTGTCAGGGCATTTTCCAAGCACGCGTTCAGCTTCTTTCCCCTTTTCTACCATATCAGAGATCTTCTGAAGTTGCGACATTGTTAGTTTCATGTTGTCCCAATCCAGCATATTCTTCTTGCACCAGTTGCAGCCAAACATTGACGTACAAAAGCATTTACCAAGAGATTCCTTCAGATGACCAAGATCAGGTACAAGAAATGCAATGATGTTAAATGTCTCCATGGTGTCATCAGCCAATTAAGGCTAGTCCATTATGTACAGCTGATATCACTCATCGTAATGGCCCTTTACATGAGCTTGAATGTAGTTCCTAGTCTCAGGAACCCTCCAAATAGAAATCAGAAATTGACCATAAGGAGAGTTTATTAGCTTAGTCAAATTTAAAATGCTAAATGACATGTGTTCGGTTGGTTGATGAGCACCAGCTCTTCCACCTACGGATAAATAAAGGAGTACTTGGATTAAAACTCGTCTGTTGGGATTCCTACTGTCTTAGGTCCTTATGTTCTATTGCTGTGGTGTGTATTCCGTCTTCATTAATTATCCTTTTGTCATCGCTTGCCGATAGGGCTACCTTGACGACCCTTTCCGTATATATTTCGTGTAGTCTGCTTGTGAAGACATTCATTCCTCTCCATTGTTTTTTGCAGCTGAAGAGGCATTCCTTGTAGTTGTTGAATGTTATTTTTTTTTGTGGTTGTCTTTTTAACACCCTTGCATTTCTTTTGCTCTTTTTCGTCTTCTGCCATTTTGTAGGCATACAATTTTGCTCTTAGTCCTACCAATTCTTCGATCTGTTTTTCTCCTGTTTCCGGTTTCATCATTCCGATGACCTTTTTATTTACTCCGTTCGGAATTCTGGAGGGGTGGTTTTTAGCGATGTTGCTGGTATCGAATTTTTCGTAGACATCTTTGGAAATGTCCTTGAAGAAGTCCTCGTTGGTAATTTCATAGCATAGGAGTCTGTGTCTGTGAATAGTAGTTTAGCATCATTCCCATACATTAGTTTGATGTAGTTATAGTGAAAGTCGTACATGAGGGTTTTGCTGATGTCCAGGATACTCATTCCGAGGTATATGGGTTTTATGAGTTTTACGGATGTTTTCTCATGTGGACTGCCACCAGGTTTTCGGAAAAGATGGTTACCGATTTGAAGTTATGTTTTTGGTAGCTTGTTCCATTTCTTTTCGTCGTTGACGATTCTGATATCGACCCTATTCCTTACGTTTTCAATGGTTTTCCGAATACGTAGTTATTCATAAGTTTGAAGAAATCTTTGTCGAAGTCTGTGGTTCCTCTGGTACGGAGGTTTGTGTTGAGCTGGATGTATTCTTTCATCCAGTCCCTTTGGAGGAATTTTGCTCCGCGATGTATTTTGATTAGCTTTAACCCCAGCTCAGGTATTGCTTAGGTTTGTGTGGTGGAGGAGTATTTTTCCTTATTGTTGAGGTTAGGGATGAGCTTTTCCGTCTTGTTAACCATTATCCTTTCTAGGGGGTATTCGTTGTGTAGGTCGTGGAGATCGTCGGGATATTCGTTATCCACTTCGAGGATGCAACTGTGTTCCTCCCATTTTTCCAACTCTTTGCTGTTCATTCATTTGAAGTCCTTGATGGGTAGGGGCTGACTCATTGCCCATCCGTAGAGGTTGTTTGCGTCCATATAGGGGAGGTACTTGCTTTTCTTCTTGGGGTTGTAGTTAGACATGTACTTGTTGTTGGCTATGGCATGTCTTTTGTGATGGTGCTGATTCCTCCGCGGATTCCCCTTTCTATGAGTAGGTACAGTCTGGATCGGAAATAAGCTCCAGTTCCACCTTGGTTAGTTTTAGGGCGGCATCCCACGCTAGTCCGGTGCTGTGTAGTACCATAGAGGGTCGAGTCCATAGTTTGTTCTGCATACTTTTCTGAAATTTTCCATAACATCTGCCAGGAGGAGGACGTCTGTTTTAAGGTAAAGGTCGTGATAATCCCTCATGGTTTTCATGTCGAAGGTGTTCCATACGTCCGTGCTCTCCCATAATCGGCGTCGCTGATGTTTTCGTTGGTAAGGCTGCTGAGAATCTGCTCTTGGGTAGGAGGTTCATCTCTTCCACTTGTTGAATTCATTCATAACTCATAGGGGTATACATCCTTCTGTTTGAGCATTTCTTGTTGCTCCTGGTGTAGTGAGTTGTCATTAGGTCCAGTTTTTGAAGTCGTCCTTACCTAAACCTTTGGTGAGTTTGTCCAGGGAGCTTAATTCCCTTTTGACCTTCTTTTCCTTACCATCCTTACCTTTAAACTTATCGACCTCTACCTCCTTGGTAAAGGATATGTATTTTTCTTCCGTCTTGGGAATGCATTTGATGTCTCCACTGTTCACCCCGAGGTTTTGTGAATTTTGGTTGCTTCATCTTGAGGTTGAATGAGTTGTGTGCTGCACGCCTGTATTTTCCTGTGTAGTGGCAGTGGTCGTTGACTTTGTAGTCACTTTTTGTAAATTCCTCTTTACATGCATAGCATTGTGGGGACAGGTTGTAATTTTTGGTATCTTTAGGGGTCATCCTAATGGGAACCGGCGTTTTAAATCAGTTGTAGATATCCCTTGTTTCCTCTACAAGCATGTCCACAAATTTTTGGTGATGTCTTCCCCCTAATACTGCTGGGTATGGTGTACCAGCTTGGGTTTGTAGATGGAGTCGTCGAAGTACTTAATGTAGTAACAGAATCCGCTTGGGTTGTGTTTCTGGTATTGTGTGGTACTTGACTCGTCCGGTTTTTGTTCCTTTGCGTCATTTCCATATTGTAGCATTCAAAGTCTGCGTAGATGGTAATTGGAAATTCCTGTGTCTTTTCATAGTTTTCGAATTTTGTGGTGCTACCGGGTTTTGGACATTCGTGTCTTTGGTAGTCGTTGTTCGAGCATAGTTCCAAGTGTTTTTCTAGGAGTTCGTTTGACCCGAATGCGTTAAGGCATCGGTCGCATATGTATTTTTTATGTTCGTTCTTGCTGATTTGTGAGCCTACGAGTTTTGACATGTCCTTAACGACGCTGTAGTGCTTTTTCCAAAGGAATAGTCTTATGGGATCGGTTTTTCCTGGTACTCGTAAGGGGTAGATCTTGTGGCTTTCGTCGGCACTGAATACGTTAATACCGATGTTGTTATTGTTTTTCTCGAATTTTTTAATATCATCTATTGGTGTTGGGAATTCGATCCCTTGCCAGTTTAACTGTTCGGATTGTTTCCTGAGTTCATTTGAAATTCTTTCCGGATGGACGTCGGTAGGGTTTAAGGCACGTGTGACAGCCCACTTGAAACATTCGTTGTCGTCGTTCTTATGTTAATAATTGCTTTTTTGCTGGTTATGGATTTGGGTAGTGGTTCGTGTTTCTTGCCCCTAAGTGGTTGCAACTCTCCGATGTGGATCTCCAACTGGGTAACTCTTCGTAGTTCATCCACTGCCCCTCCTCTGGTATTCCGAAAAGGACTTTAGCATATTTTCCCTCATGATGCTTTGGGTTTCTTTCGTATCGTAAGTTTGCGATTTTTTTATCCGAAGTGAGCGATGGTTGACACTTCTTCCCCGGTTTTAGGATCGCTCCTTACCATTTCGCAGGCTAAGGACATCCTTACGTTCCTGGGTTCCGTTTCGGAGTTTATGAGTGTTTTAACCTCATCTACCGTGATGGTTAGGAAGTAGGATGGGTCGTAGTTACCGTTTGGGGTAATGACGTACTTTTTTACCTTTTTCTTGATGGCGTGTTTGGCTAGAATGGGTTTCAGGATTTCCCTCGGTTTTTCCCAGATTTTGCTAAGCTTGCCGCCCAACTTTTTCTTGCCTTTCCATTTACCCTCTGCGATTCTACGGTTTTCCTCAGCTCGCCTTTCGCGAGCCTTTGCGTTTCGTCGTAGTCGCTGGGTCTCCTTTTTCCACTTTTGAGTCTCGGCTTTCCAGTCCGTAACTTCTTTTCGCCGTCTTTTTTCTTCCTTGACGATGTCGCTCTTTCATTTCTTTGCATCCCTTATTTCCTTTCTTGCGTTATCCTCGGTATGCCTTCTTCGTCTCTGGAATTGTCTTGCTGCTGATTTAACTTCCTTTCCGATTATTTTTCTCTTCTCCTTCTTGAGTAGTTCGTCGAAATGGTTGTTAATTTTCTTCTCTATTTTTAGACCTCTCTCTCGGGCCTTTTCCGGTACGTTAGTTCTCATTCGTTCAATAGATGTGAATTTTTTGTCCGAAATTGGAGCATTTTGTTTGGTAAACGCCATTGCTTTATTATATAGAAAAGTTTATCTATAAAGTGATTCTATTTTTCAGACCTATAAGGTCTGAAAAAAGCAATGGAGTTCACAAAATGCTCACGGATGGACGTATGAGAAATGTCCCTTTTATTGTATAGGATTTATTTTGGAAAAGTTGTTTCTGTTTGTTGGTCATAGGATCCGCAATTGCGTCCTTTGATTTGACATCCTCGCCAGGTCACTACCTGGCAACCTTAATCGACTTGACCCTAAAGGGCTTCCCTCATTTCGGCATCCATCTGCGTTTCGTCTAACATTTCCATCTCACCTGTCCGTGCCTCTTCTGTAATCGCTTCGTTTTCCATATCCATTATTCTCTGATCTTCCCTTTCCTCTGACCATTCCTCCCAAGACATACACATACTGAACCAATTATTTATAATATCCGTGGGTGGACCTAGGTGAATCCTGTCTTCTGGACCTTCAAGCCAACAATCCATCACATCGACGGGTTCGGAAATGGTAATTAAGATGTGAATGCCTTTCATACCTCCGTAAAGATAATGAACACCCCGAATTTCAGCGCCTTTTCCCATCCATCCTTTTCCAAATTTAATTCTATGTTTTGCTGGCAAACCTGATTCACCAAATGTATGGATAATGATCATTATGTCCTTGTAGTATACTTACACATTCTCGCAATTTGATTTATCTTCTCCGCACAGTTGAAATAGAGTTGGACTTTATTGTCCGATTGAAGAAAACCCAGATACGACATCAGTACCTGTCACAAATCTAGTAAAGACCCACGTCAAGGATCCCAGAAGGGTGGAGTCAGGGCGTAGGCTTGCTAGGATCAGGAAAGAAGCGAAAGCAAGAAAGAAGGCACAGCTTGAATCTATCAAAGAAGAGGAGCAGAGCATTACGGACACAGAGGACAGAGGTGATGGGTCAATAGTCACCCTAGAGAGAGTTGGCCTGGTAGTGGGTATCGCCGTAGGGCTAGGATCCCTTTATTTCATGTGGCACAGTAGTCAGGAAAAGGACGAGAAGTCTAAGGAAAATAAAACTGTAGAGGAACCGGAAACTGTTGGTATTACACCAAAAGGTCCTGACCTGTTTGACTAAAAAGAGAGTATAATGAAACGGTGTCGCAGTTACTCCTGGACATACTGACCTTTTCCGTAGCAGCCGGAACTTGTCTTATTTACATCCATTCGGTTAAGGTGAAGGAAGCCAAACGCGAGGCGACGGAAGCCGAACGCAAGGAATGTGAAGACGGAATGCTTAACATCCTGGAAAGGAAATTTTCCCTAATCCTGGAAGAGAAGCTAATGGAGAAATAGTTCTATTATAATAAAAAACACAATGACCGACACGAAGAAGGAAGTGATCAACGAACTTTACGACGCCGCACTATTGACAATCGGAGTTGTTGGGGTATCCTACCTTGCCAAAACGGTTGCGGAAAAAGCCTCGGCGCACCGATGACCCTAGAAGGAACAGCAAAGCTTGCCAGGTGAAGTGTAGGAACGACGAGGCAAGACGGGGGGCTGAGATCCTGGATGCTAACAAGGATATCGAGGAAACAAACAGGGCACTGGAAGACCTGAGGGATTATACGAGGCTCATGGATAGTACGGCATCCCAACGCAGACCGAAATTGGAGGATTACTATCAACCATCGGACGAAATGAAAAAATACGCAGTGTTGACGGTTGTTATCCTGGGTGTTGGTGGTGCTTATGGATTGACACAAATATTTTAAATCTTACAGAAAGATTTAAAAAATCTTATGTTGTCAAGAGGAAGCAATTTACGTTTGTAGTTCCTGTTCTCTGGTTACATTTCCCGAAGAGTCTACATCATTGGATTCCAGACCAAAAATTGTACATTCGTATTTCCGGAATCCAGGACGATAAAGAACGTGAACGAAACCTAAATAATTCTGCTGCTTTGATCGCGTGTAAATATAACAACTGTTCCCACAGCATCATCGCGAAATCCGTAAGGGTGGAGGATGTTGCCGTATTTTTCCATCACTAAATATCAAAGTAATCGTACCCGAATAAGATGGTCATTTTATTTAACGTCTAAATACCAGGTATGCAAGTCCAAAGGATGCTACTGCCGCTGTCCCAAGAGCAATATTTTTGCTATCAGACTTCTGCCTTAATTCTGGGAGTTTGAAGTCCTCCGCAACAGGAATCGGTGTAATGTCGTGACTTTCATCTATATTATTCGTAGGGTAGGAACAGGATTACTTGTATAATTCACCTTCTCATTTTTTCCGAACGTCATCCCGTTTTTAGCTACCGTTAGAACATTGCTAAATCCTGAAATAGGTTTTGTTAAAATTCTCAGGTCTGAAGGAATTAGGATTAAACCCGGCATGATTGCAAAATTTAGGACGACGTGGGTGTTAGCAATAGCCGTCCTCGTGTTGAAGATGGTAACTGTTACGTCGTCCTGAACAACCGTGTCCCTTACTACCTTCCGGAAAACCTCCTGTGTCTGCAGACTTTTTGCACCCTGACCTACGATACTCCACCTAGTTTTGGCCTGTGCCCCTAGGAAGGAATACACGAACGCCTCGATAGACTGCTGGAATAATTTCTGTCCAACTTTGGTAAGTCCACGGGATGTTTTGGGAATAAGGGTTTAAAAGTCATTTTCAACGTCGAAGGGTGATCTACCAGTCAGGTATTCATATTCGATAAATGAACCTCTATATTTGGTTAAATGGTACTTCTGACGTCGTATTTTTTTCTGTTCACTCACAGGTAAGCCGTAGTACCATGTCCCAATGTTTGCGTGGGAAGAGACGGTCCTCCTAACCCATGTTTCACGTACAGGTGTATACTTTCGAATAGTCCATTTATCATCACTTGTAAGGTACTGGTCTAATATATTGGGGTTGCGCATGAACCTCGATAGGTGAAAATGAAGGTGGAAGCGAACAATGGCGGTTACTATGTTGGAGTGTGAGTTGGAAAAATTATTCGTAAGGTGATCCTCGGAAATTCCGGATTTAAACACAGCAACATAGCATGCTGCTAGGGAGCAGAAATAAGAGTTCGAATGGTAATCAAAAGGTATAGTGTGGATAAAGGGTTCCGGAGGCTTATCGTATGATGGTTTAATAGTCTCCAATTTTGTTAGGAAATTCTCAGTCTTCGTAACATAGACCGTAAGAGTATGCACATCCACCTTGAAATCCTTATTTGGACGGAAGATTGCGTCCGATTGAACACTCGCCACCCCTCTACCCAGTACAGGTACTTATTCTACTCCGGATTTGTGCGGTATGTGTCGGATGTGATATCAAAGCTTGTGAGGTCGTCCACTTTATCGAAGATGTCTCTGGAATCCACGGTTCCGTCCTTGGCAAAGGTGACCTCAAAGTCAAACTTAGATAGGGTTGCATTGGCATATTTTTTTATGAAGTTCGTCTTCATTTCCGGATTTCAATAGGTGCTGCTGCCTTAACCTTCTCATAATTCTTTCCGTAGTAGTTTCGGAAAATATCCTCACTCATTCTTTTATTTGATGTAAAGTTCTAGCAAGACATCTCCGGGGATGATTCCTGTATTAGGTCCAATTTCAAACCGAATTTTACTGTATTTACCAGCATCCACCCGTACTTGGCTTTCAATGTCGTTGTATTTGGTTGTGGTCCCGAAGAGAGGTCTTGTCCCATCAATCGGAAGGGATGTGATGACGGTACTCCGACTTCCGTACGGTCCAATGCTATGCTCACGGTTTACAAGGTTACAGCTGACTGTGAGGTACCTCAGACCTTCATGGATATCTACGGAACGATCGCTAATGTGTGGGGTGTATGTAGGACCATTGGAGGACCGGTATCCCAAAATACTCGTGAGATTTCGGAGTCCTGCGGAATTTGTTCCCTTGGCAAAGTCAATCCTTATCCTCCCGTCAGGATAATCCTCAAGTGTTAATCCGTTTTCCTCCAATTCTTTCTTAATCTGTTTAAAGGTCCAATACCCTTCATCTATCATAATCTTCTTTCCGTCTACAGAAATGTAGTTATTATACCCCCTTCGAATGTTCTTATAATTCCAAAACACAGCGGCAGTCTTTACGTAAAGTTCAGATCCATGGGTAAGGATCAGTGGATCCTGTAAATCCAGGGTAACCCCTCCGCTTTCAACATAGAATGTTATCTTCTCCATGTTTTATTTACAGGTAATAAAATGAGTCTACCATTAGATGTAGCTCTCCGGGAAATATATTTTAACGTTAATGGTGGGTACATGTCGATGGAAAAATTATACCAAAGTGCAAAGGAGGAGGGTATAAAGGGAGTTTATAGCCGGAAAAATGTTAAGAAATGGTTACAAACACAAAATACCTACATCATTAACAAACCGTCCAGGAAACATTACAAAACCCAAAGGACCTATGTGGACGGACTTGCACAACAATCCAAATGGAACTTGTGGATATGAGTAAGTTCAGTGATAAGAATAAGGGAAACCGTTGGATCCTAACTGTCATAGAGGTTCTGAGTCGACGTGCCTTTGCCGTTCCCGTATGGAGGAAAATACCGAAAGCATGACGAAGGCTGTTGAAAATGTGCTCGCACAATTTAAGGAAAGGTTCGGTAGGTATCCTAAAACGGCACAGTACGTTCGACGATGGAAAGGAATTTTACAATGTAGGAGTAAAGACATTGCTAAAATATTACGATGTCCATTACTTTTCCACAAGGACCTTCCGGAAAGCTGCACTTGTCGAAGGATTCAATAGGTCTCTGAAAACAAGGATGTGGAAATACTTTACGGAAAATAGGACGAAAGTTTGGGTGGACATCTTACCTGCTCTCGTTAGATCTTATAATAATACCACACACAGAACAATAGGGATGAAACCGGCGGATGTGAATGAGAAAATAAGGATAAAGTTTGGACGAGGATCTATGGGTACCCACTGGACAGTTTTCCAAATCCTAAATTTAAGGTTGGGGATATGTCAGGGTGGAAATAAAGCACAAAACATTTGAAAAGGGATACGAACCTAATTTTGACAACGAACTATACGTCGTACAGCAGTATTTCGTGGATATCCTAACATGTATAGCTATTGACGAGGATGACTTTCTTTCAGGACTAGACGACGATCAAAGACTAGACGATGCAAAAACCTCCAGTTTCCGTGAGGAAAATAGGGACGATAAGTATACAAAGAGGAAAAGGCAGTTATATGAACTGAGCACATATGGAAAATTTGATGACATAAAGATAGAATACGTCAGGAGGCTTTTCCAAACTGAGTACCGAATAGATCCGACCGACGGACGAAACTCTTAGGAATTTATCTCCAGTTTAGACATCACTAAAAACAAGTTAACATTTAAGGGGCTGATGTTGCATACATCGATACGGGTGGTACCTTCAAAATGTCTGAAAATAAGAAGGTACCGCATCATCAAGAAAATTCCTTAATCTATACGAAAAAGCACTCACCGAACACAGGGAAAGACTAAAAGTGTAGTCGAAGAGGAGACCGGAGGAGAAGCATCAGGAGTAAACGCGGAAGAGATTTTCGAACACGCTGAGGAGGAATTCTGCCAGGAAGTAATCAACGCAGGCGACAACCTTGTGGAACACGCAAGGGAGCTGGCGGAAAGGGGGAAAATAACCACACAGGAGAGCAGGGAATTTGCGGGATTAACCGCTCCCAAAGGACCCCCCGAAGTCAGGATTAAAGCCTTAAGGGAACAGAAGAAAGTATTGGAAACCAATATAGAACTCGAAACAGATCCCGAAAGACGACAGATTATGCAAGAGGGCATGGATGTTGCCGAGCAGGTATAGATAACGCCAACCTATAGATGGGTCAGCAACCCGAAACTGAGGAGGGAAAACACAGGTATAGGGAAATTGTAAGAGAAAATATCAGGACAAAATTCGAAAGATTCTGCAAATGGGCAAAGGAAAACCTAGGCGCACTAGCCGCCATTGGCACTTCTATCGCTGGTACTATCACTACAGTCGTAGTGGCAGGAAATAAACCATCGTAGGAGCCTCCAAAGGATTAGGAGCCGCAGGAAAAGCATTGGCTGGACTTCCAAAATCCGCACTACCAATCCTAGTACCTATCCTAAATTTACTAAGTACTATCCTAAGCTGGGGAGCTAAGGGTCTCGCCTTCCTTGCCCAGAACCTATGGATCGTAGCAATCCTAATTGTTGGGGCTATATACAAATACCTACAAAGTAAACGAAAGAAATAAAGTTATACTATAATAAAACATAATGGACCGAACAACTGAACTTATGCCTAACTTCCGACGCATGAACAGGACGGAAATCACTAGGGATAGGACCAGACATGTTTTAACCTTCAATCCCAATTCTTCAAAACCTGGAGAAGAAATTTACGTTAATATTCCAAAGCTAAAAGCCGACTCAGTTCTTGTACCGGATATTTTGGCTTTAGTTTTCGACTTTAAGAACAGTAATACAAAATCCTGGTTTAGGAACAACCTAGGGAAACTACTCCAGAAAAGACTGGAAATCCGACTCGCAGGAGAAAAGGTTTTCGACAACAGCGGGGAAAGCTTACTGGAAGTATCAAAGACCTATGGTTACACAAAAAACAGCGTGATGATATGGTCGATGATGGTATCGCTAGCGAAGCCACAATGAAGAAAATATCCAAAGACGACGCCGCAAACGATGATGCAGAGGCTACCGCATTATTCAGTGTATTCGGAACAAAACAGAAAATCCGGATCAACAAAATCCTCAAAGATCACGGACTTTATGCCCCACACAACATGGCAAACGACTTACAATATGTGATCACCATACCCACAGCGGCCGAAATCATGAACGCACAGGGTGGGGGAATCTGTGGAAGGATACACCCTAGAAAACATCGAACTGTAATACGAGTCCATCGACAACATCGATCTTGCAAGGAAAGCCGAAAACCTATACGGATCCGAACGCGAGTTATCCTTCGAACACGCTACCCTAATGAAGAAAACGGAATGGAGCAAAGATTCCACCATTATCAACGAAACGATCAACGTACCACGAAGGAGTATGAAAGCCATTGTCATGCTATTCACAAACCAAACGAAGACAGACAGTGAGGAATATATCTATCCCAACATCGAAAAGGTCAAAGTAACCATAGAAGGTGTTCCTAATGCAGTCTATAGCCAGAGTATCCCGAAAACAAGACTATACAAGGAGGCAAGGCGGGTTTTTGGTACTGACGAAATAAGCCATCAAACACTAACCGGCTTCTTCAAGGACAAAAAATTCGCACTGGTCATCGATCTCAGAACCGCAAACGACGCCAACACATATGGAAACGGTGCTAAAATTCAAAACACCCAATCCGGAATATTGGTGGAAATCACAAAAAAAGCTACAACTGCAAACGTTGTATGTTACCTGTTCGTCCTTTCCGACGGTGTTATCAAGATCGCAAACGGACAACTTGCTGGAATAAAGTACTAAATTATTCGAAAACTACAGTTTTTCCATATTCAACAGAGTTTGGAAAATTTTTATGCTTGATCATCAGTCTCCGGTCCTTCTTCAGAAGGTGGTTGTTCAGGTGTTCTCCGATAGACATGTTTCACTGTCGTCACTCCACCGCTAACAATACCCAGGTAGGGTATGTATGGAGACAGCTTTGCTACTACACTTTTAACATCACTCTTAAACAGTTTATCCTGATTTAATTCCTCCCTTAATTCATTCCCACTATCCACCATACTGATAGCTTCCATGAGATCCGAAAATTTTTCAATCAAAGCCTCTGCCAGCACCACATTTGCCTTTTCCCTCTGTGCAACGATATATTCCCTCCGTATCTTCCTGATAACCTTCCCGCACGCCTTCTTCAAATAACTTTTAGACTGTTTAATCTCCCCTGCATTAGACAGGCGAATAAGCTCTGCCCTACCGTCCTCTATTTCCGTATTCTCTGCGTTCGGTGGTTCCTGTTGCATCCTTTTTTATTATAATACAGGAACTTTTACTTCATGATTAAATGGATGTACCAAATCTACCTCAAGATGAGCATACTTATTCTCCTTCCGCTTCTCCTTAATAGACCTCATTTCCGCATTGTCAACAAGAAGGTATTCATCCAGGATGATCTTCATGTCCTGCCTATTTGGATTATAGAATGTTACTAACTTAGAAATATTCTGCCTGTACGGTTTAGCAATGGAGGTCAGCTGTTGGGTAATAACAATGGTGGAAATACTCATATGACGTGCGCTAAACGCAAGATCTACCAACTCCCCCGTACGGTCCTTCACAGACTTAGTGCTGGCATAATCATCCAAAATGAACAGGGATTCCCTTCCATTGGTGAAGTACACTAAAAATTTAAGGTAATCTTCCACGTCATCCTGCCGGCAGGGGATAACAAAGAAATTGTCGTCCTCATGAATGAAATCCTGATCATAGGTCTTATTCCAGTGAAAGGTAGGACAAATCAGAAAAATATTTTCAAATTGGTGGAAAACGTCGTCTTTAACTCCTGAATGAGGTAATGCGTCTTCCACAGGCCGTCTATCGGTATTGAACGAGGAGACATCACGATAGCGCACACACTCACATCGGTTACGCCAGCGCAACGGTAAAAAAAATACGATAATAAAAACATTAAAATTACTCAACATACTCCAAACCTATCTTCTGAAACAATTTCCTCGCCGATCGTGAGGAATCTTCCCCTTAGGAATCTTAAGTAAGGTCTTATCTATCTCCACACCAAGCCATTTACATACCTGGTAACTCAAAATATTAAGATTGGGAAGCCTCTTCCTTTCGGGTCTCTCTGCGTCACAAAACAACACAATTTTATTTATAACCTCAAACGATCTTTCCCCAAATAAATCATAGGATGACACATCTTTCCTTTTAATAAAACACAAACTTTGGAATAGATGGTAGCTTTATACGGACGCTTCATAAGTGCCCTGTCCCAACAACCGTACTCAGAAACATAATGAGTCGGACCAACCACCAGCCCACAATCAGTACACGTCCTCTGTCCATCCACTTCGACAAACCGGTACTTACGCCCAGCGGAACAAAAATGCCTGTTGGGAAATTCTATAGGCTCCGGCTCCTTAGGATCAAGGGAATCCAAGTACTCCTTTTCCGCTATTTCAAAAAGCTCCATGTTCTTACTCTTCTCCTTCCTCTTCGGTTCCCAGGGCGGACACAACCTTTCATGGTATTTCTTAAGCGCCATTTCAGAAAGAGAATCCATACCTTTACTTATACAAAAACTTTTCTCTTTAAACCATTTACCTTCCTCCCGATGTCTTCAGGAAGACTCCATCAAGCGTGTGGGATGCGGTGGATGCGACGGGCTTGCGGACGGATTCGCGAGCGGGACTGACCACAGCTCCGCGAGCGGTGGGGGAGGTGGCCGGTGGGTAGAGTCCTCCCAGTTTGGCGCAGGGAATTGGGGACCGGGAGTGACGTTATGGTTTTTATTCTGGGAATTCCGTTTTCCAGGAATCCCATTCCAGGCATGCCCAAAATTGCCCGGATTTTTTCTGCCAAAAATTGATATTTATGTTCTCAATTGCGGATTGTCCTAGGACCGGCCCTTATTAGCTACTAGCACCTCCGTGGAAATTACTCTCTGAAGTGTATCTTGAAATTGAGCACTAGAACAAATACAATCAAGCCCCTCGTATTCAAAATTGACATATCTTTGTGTAAATTGATTACCCCAACTTCCAGTTCCGATATATATTTGGCAACAGCAGCATATGGAGACAGGTAAACATTTGCTTTCTTAAGAGTCTTACTGGCTGCATGCGCAATATATTCTCTTTGGGACAAGCGGGTTTTTCCAACTAAAAACTCAGCTGATTTATGTAAACTTATATACCTTGGTCCAGTAATCTCTAATTCAAAAACAACTTAATCCAAGTATGACCCACTCTCTTCGATAGCACTTGTAACTAAGCCAGGATCATTTTGTCACAGGCACACAAAGTAACTTTGTACATCATTAGAGGATGTAAACTTCACCATCTCGTGTACTAGGGTGTTTCGTTCTTTCCTTGCGTGCGGTTTCAAAGCATTGGTTGGTCCAGCATTTCGAGTCTTTGTGTTTGCAACCTTATCAAGCAGAGGATATTGTGATACAAATTTTCTCTTTATAACTGTGGTGTCATTAATTGTAGTAAATTCCGCAAGATCGTCATACAATTGTCGCTTCCTACAAACTTTGGCTAGCGCTTGGAGTTGTTTAATGACATCTGGTCTCTGGAAACCGAAAAATTCATAACCAGAAATATTTTTCTTATATTCTTTGATCTTTAAGAAATCAAGCACATTCCTTACAGGAGTAGTTGGTTTAACTTCTTGGGTTGTGTATAGGTTGTCCTCACCAGAAATAACCGCACACTGAAATATAGGACCAAAATTATGAGAACGAGAACTATCGAACGAGAAAATCTCAAATGACGTTCCTTCCGAATTTAAAATAAGTCGAGCATCGTAACCTGGTCGAAGAGGCACAACATTTTCGCCTGAGCCATACGACCACAAGGTTCTATCCGTTCCATCATCGCATGGAGGGTCTTCCCCCACAGATAAAATTCCCAGCCAACTAACCAACCGTCCAGACCTTTGTCCAATGTTTATCGTGACTTCATCACAGCTAGATGGTTCACTTTCGTCGGTATCGGGAGCTTCATTGGCCCGCACCAATGTTTATTTGTCTGTAATCCAAGTTCTTTTAACACACTGTTTGCTGCCTGTGTTGGTTTCGTAGAAATTATTCTGACTGATTTCTTCTCGCATGTATACTTAAATAAAGGCAGAAGTTGTGGTTTGATTACCTCAGAAAATACTTGGCAGACATCTTCATTTGCTAGGGTTATGGATCTTTCTGATTTAAAGCCAGGTCGTTTTAAATAATCACGTCCTTCTGAACTCCGAATCCAAAGGCTGTCCTTCTTCTTGTGTTCAGCAACGGCTTCTCCAAGTGAAACCAACCGCTGCCACTTTAGAGCTTGTTTTTCGAACTCATCTGCAATTTAAATCAAGATATTCTGATGAAACTTCATAAAGGATATTTATTAGCATTATGCAAAATAATGCTAACGAAATTGTTGAAGAAAGAGTATTTCTAGATCGGTTCAAAGCCACCGATCTCTTTAGCCCCCTCAAACCCCTGTAGTGGATCTTTTTGAGAGAATAAAAAAAAGGCATTCTTAATTTCATCTGGAAAACACGAGTTTAATACCTACCAAAAGCTAGAGAAATTCTGAATCTTCTCCGCCATTTGCATTTTTTTCGTCCTTTAAATGCGCGCATGTCTAAACGGTATGAAACGCTGAACACGTCAACTTTTACGTGATTGAGGCGCACGCAAGGGGATAAAGACGTATCAACAATAGTAACAATCTCGTATTTATGTACGAAATAGCCAGCTCATGCCATGCTTGTGGTACATTTTTCGTTTATTAGCCCATACACTTGTACGCACACGCACAATTCGAACTCCAAGGATTGAATGCTCCAGTGACATATTCAGTTCAGTTTCAAAATTGCTGCTTTTCACTGAGCGATCTAATATATATTTCACAGCTCGAAAATCCCAAAATTTGGACCCAGCGAATTTATACAATATACTGTGGAATATAACGTTTTTCGTTTATTTGTCCATATATAGACCGCCCGCGCACAATTGCGAACTCCAAGGGTGACATATTCAGTCTAGTTTCAAAATGACGGCTTTGGCTGGGTGATCAAAATATATTTCACACAGTTTCGTTGAATTTTCAAAGAGTTGTTCCGGTTTCCTATGGATTTTACGTTGTGTCGCACTCTGGACTTTCTTGCCTGTTGAATTAATGTGTTTTACTTTGTGTAACGACTCGAAAATCCCAAAATTTGGACCCAGCGAATTTTAATATGCAATATAGTGGAATATACAATATAGGGAATACAATTAACAAGGACAAGTTCAAGGTTTGACAGCTTGACTTTAATAAATAACTATAAACGTCCGTTGTGTACTTGCGTTTATTTTTGTGTCGCACTCTGGACTTTTTTGCGTGTTGAATTGATATTTTTCTTTTTGTATTAAACGACTGGAAAACACCAAAATTTGGACCCAGCGAATTTAAACAATATAGTGGAAGATAAACAAGGACAAGTTAAAGGTTGACAGTTTAACTACACAACGTAATTTTAATTAAACAAAATCTCCTAATTTCTTACGATAGTTTTAGCCAAATGTCGACAATATAAGGCCTACAGTACCTCACATGTATTAAAATTTGCGCAGTACTAGAATTCGTGTAGCGCTGCGTACGCAAATATTAGTACTGCGCGAAATATAATCCGCGCAAAAAGCTTTGTGGTAGCTACAGTAAAGATAAAGCGTGCGTTCAAAATACCAACAAGAATTAAAACATTTATTGTATGGATCTCATTTGCCTAATACAATAACATTAGTTCGACGCGAATTTAAAAACAAGTAAGGTATGGTATCATATCTCATAATATAACGAACAATTTAAACTAGCCATACATATATCGCCGAACATAACTTCGGCCCCTTTAGACATATCTTTTTCGTAATAGAATTATTGGAACATATTCAAACGAAACTTTGTACATGAAAGCGCTTGAATACAAGACGTATTTTATTCACATTGACTCTTTACAGGCAGTAATTTACTGGCCAGGAGGCACGCGTGCATAAACAAAACATGGCGGCGTCAACCAGTGGCAGTGCTATGTATGTCCCATTGAATCGAAAATATCTTCAGACTCTAACCAGAAAGAGCAAATAAAGGCTTATAAGTATGAAGGGTGATCAATATCAAAAACATCATTCGATGATTCTGTACTTCGTTGGATGATTATTCATGTTGTTTAATGACAATGCAAGTTGTTAGATGATTACGTGTTTACCCATTTCACGTGTTTCGTTCGATGATTCTGTATGCTGTCATTCCGTATGACGTTCGATGATTGTGTATGCTGTCATTCCATATGACGTTCGATGATTCTGTACGCTGTCATTCCGTATGACGTTCGATGATTCTGTATGCTGTCATTCCGTATGACGTTCGATGATTCTGAATGCTGTCATTCCGTATGATCACAGTATGACGTTCGATGATTCTGCGCCTTCAAGCAAACTAGCCTTCGGATTCTGAGCCATTGTCTGTTGCTTGTCTAGCGCATTTCTACACTAAAATATTTTAGGGAATGGATGCTATAGTCCATTACGGAAGAAGAATCCTTATTGAAATAACTTCTCAACCAGAGCAACACAATATTGGCTCGGACCAAATAGACTACGCGAAATTTCGTTTAGAGTGGTTTACCAGTGTATTACTGCGGTACAACCAAGCAAGAAATGGAAGGATGCTCAGGATCATTCCATCGACAATTATAAAAAAATTATATTTTATGTTTATATATATGGAATATCCGATATATTGCTTATCTTACCTGAAATTCTCATTTACCCTGTTCTGACTCACTGTACTAAACGATGTTGATGGCATCGAAAATGAATTTTGGCCACTATACAATACAATACAATATGATTTATTAGTTAATCCCCATAAGGGCTTTTCATAACTAATTTACAAATAAGTGTAGTAATATGATATTTACATGCAATTATTTAGAACTTATGTTAAAAAGATAGATTGTCTGTAGCTAAACTAGAATTACAACTGTATATTACGAGGACTATTAAAAATTAATTCTGTCTATTGATTAACTCTGTTCGTACGGCCTTCTTAAATCCTCCTAGAGTTGAAATGTTTCGAGTCGAAAGATCAAATGAGTTCCACAGCAGTGCTGCATGATTAAAAAAGGATCGCTTTGCTTTAGATGTTCTACATCGTAATATGTTTATGAAGTTGCGAACGGATTACTAGCTTGGAACTAAGATAGGCAGGTGCAAGACCATGAACTATTTTATACATCATAATAGCATTACGGTACAATAGAGAGTCGTTAACTGACAACCATCCCAGCTTATCTAAAGCCGGGGTGATATGATCATACTTTCTAGTTCCGGTTACGATTCGTGCTGCAAAGTTCTGTACTCGTTGTAGTTTCTTAATGTTGTTTTGGGTGGTGCCAGACCAAACCGTGGAGCAATAGTAAAGTTTGCTAAATACTAGGCAGTTTATCATGACCAACAAGGCATCCTTGTTGAACAAGTGTCGAACTCTGTTGATTAGACACAGACTTGATGTTAGGGTCGACGTCAATCAATTGATATGATCGTCAAATGTCAGAGTGGCATCGAAAGTGAGACCAAGGTCTTTACAAACTGTGACAGGTGTTAATATTTTTCCTAGAAAAGGAATTGATAAGTTTGGCAGGTTCCTCTGGGGGGAGGGGGGGGGGAGGATTGCAGAATTTTAAATACATAGTTTAAATGACAGTAGTATGCATTTTTAGCCCCCCCCCCCCCCTAAA